AAATACTTTACCTGTTCAGCATTATGCGAACATTCAATGAATAAATGCACTTAAAATAATAGACATAAAGGAAATAAGTGCTTTAATAAAGACTCTCTAATGTAGGGACATATCTTTTTACAAACAAAAACATATATTTTTTATTTCAAGAATTTCATTCCGCTAATGTCTTTCTAGGGATTTTACAAACCAATAAATAATGCAGTATGTTTTGTTAAATAGAAATGTACCCAAGTGTTTTATAATCATTTACCTATGTTCCAACAATGTGTACACGGCAAAACCTAAGTACATTGTGGCAATATATATGAAATCAAACTATTTACTTCAATAAGACCTTAGAAGTTCAAATTCTTACAATAAAAGAACGTTATGGTCAGTGAATTCACATTAAGGTTTAGAAGAAAAGCTCATTTGGCTCGTAAACTGAACATGCGTGTTATAAATTGCAATTTATCTCGATGTTTACATTGGCAGAGTCAAAGGTTCAACCATTATGAAACTTAAGACATTTTAATTACATTGTGAAGTCAAAATGGAGTAAAACCTGAAGGCCGATGTGCAGTCATTACAATTGATTCTTTGTAAATAAACTTAATTGAGCTCGAAATATACCAGTAGGAACACTGACAACTTGATATTTTCTTAATAATCTGACATATGTTCAAACTATTGCTGTACGTCAAACCTCTAAAAGCATTTGATAAACAATTTAATCTTTTTTACAAATGACTCCAACTGAGTTCAATAATCCTGTTATAAAAGTCGCATTACATTTATTTCTCAAGAAGTCGGTCGTTCTAAGGTTTATTGGGTTTATTGTCTTTGTGTATCATGCCGCAGGTTGTGTGGACGCTGTAAGTAAACAACTTCACGACATTCGTGACAGTAATTCTAGTCCTAATGTATCTTTAACCAGTAACGTCAGCCAATTCGTATTTGCAATCATCACTAATCACCTTTGTTTACATTGCTCTTCTTTTCAGAGTCTTAACATAAGTTATTCAAGGACAGGTGTGAAATATGAGTTGTCTCAGATTTGAAGCTTCTAATGACAACTTTATTAGCATATTTGTCTCATAACACTCCTGAAAATAGATTATGAGATTTATGGTATCCTATAAATATATCTGTACAAATGTTCAAAATTCTCAGACTGTCATATTACAGATAAATGATTAATTACTCGACGGTTACATATCCGTTATCTGTGGCAGAATTAAGATTATGTTATTTCATAATTCCTTGAGGACATGAAAAGCATCGTGGAGACTTCGTTGGTTGTTTGTTGTTGTTTGTTGTTGATTTCTTTGTTGTTGTTGTTTTATATACATCGATGTAAATAATGTTATAGTCGTTCTAGAACTTACATTTTGTATTCTTAACATGTGTCTATGATAAAATATAGCTTTAAATATATCAGAAACTGGTAAGTTTATATGCTAGTCGCTAGTCAACCTCATATGTGACACAGTATGCTACAATCAGGTTCGAAAGAAGGCGAGAACAACTTCGGTGTCAGTACGATATAACCCGACATAATTAGTCGTCAGAATCGTTATGCATCTAAATGATTATAGAAAAATCTAATAAACTGTACAGATTGTACAAATATGAAATAAGAATGGATATAAAATGGTTCAGAAATAATGTAACTTATGACTAAAGTGTAAGAATAGACTTAAACAATCAGAAGTTGTTGAACTGGCAACAACTATCTGTTCCATGTACACCTGTTTTGACACCATGCTGTTAATTTGCTGAGAGAAAACAGTTTTTGAGACAACAACATCTTTATATCTTTATTACATATGGTTACTGTTTCTTTTGCAGTGGGTATCAAATCTGTGTCACAACTGAGGTATTTTATGTGTCTATATCATAACCTCAATAGTCGAAAATGAAAAGAAAATTATTATTGGAGAAAAATGATTTCATAAGATACATAGATCTACAAGTACGAGCATGATTAAATGAAATGGGTGGCTAACTGGTTTGTTTTAACCCCGAACACAGGTTTTTGTCATATCTCGGTTGTCGTCCCTCCAATCCAATATTCTTGGGAAACTAACCAGTTATTACCAACACCTCCCCACGTGACCAAATACTATTCCCGCATGATTTCTGAATCTGCGGTGGGAGAAAATATCCATAAGACTCAGACTTAATGACCTTGATCAATTGTCAAGATGACACTATGCCCTATTTGAGGATGGAACCGATGACACGATGTAATATTTTAATATTATTCAGACATGATTTGCTTCGTTGTCTTATTCAGAAACACATCTCCCCATGATTGAAATTTAAAATGGAATGAAAACACGAAAACCTTGGAAGGTGAAGACAGAAATATAATACGATAAAAATACAAATTATTTTCGTTTAACCATCATTTTACAAATAACTTCCTCAATATAATAAAAAATAGAAAATAATAACGAAGAGAGAAAAATTAAAAACATGAAATGACGAATAGAAATATCGGTATACAGTCATCCCCAGACAAATATATTTAGCAGTAAAGACACGCTTCTTGTTTTTTTTTACAATTAAGACATGTTGGTATGAAACTGTAGGGCAGCCAAAATAAACATGCTGTATTGACAGGATCAATTACTAAATTGTCTAGCATGTTTACGTGTAATCGTCTGGTCCAGATATTGCTTATTGGAAATAAAATGTATATGGACTAAATTGTATATAACACAACAGGTAAGAACATGAAAATTCATTATGTTAATATACTAGTTGATATCTTAATCAATGTAAAACCTTAACTTTAATGTACATGTTTATCTTCAAATCTGGACAGAACCAATGATCGTTTTTGGAAAATTGATTTTTTCCTCCAAATATATACTGACGGAAAAGCGAACAGTGCAGACAGTGAACGGATGTTCCGGTCGATTATATAATCATGGTTTGCACTGTTTGCATGGATAGACCATTTTGCCAGAAAGAGGCTAGAGGTTACAACATATGTACTTACTTATTGAAACAGTTTACGTATTCAAACAGGAAATACTATGATTTCTGTTTCAAAGTAACTATTTGTAAATAGTAAAGAAAGACACGTATGCAGCTTCAAAGCATAATGATGTTATAACTCAAATTTTGCTTTGAGTTTAATTTCCATAATTATTGTTCATATAGTTCTATGTATGATAAACATCAATTATATATATACGTACGTTTGTATTTTTATTTCATCAAATGATTAACATAAAGAATTGAAAAATATCCACAAATGTATGATATTTTCATACAAATTTGAATAAGTATTAAATGATTGTGAATGACCTGAATTTGTTATTTTGAAATAACTTGAAATCTTCCATTAAATATTTCCAGGTTAGATTTCAACTGTTACACACATTTACCGATACCCTATTTTCTAAACATTGGCAATTAAAATGTTCATTTGATGTGTTTTGTTTCAATACAGAAGGATTGTTTTGTATCCAATTTAACTAAAAAATACATTCTGTGTTTGCTTAATTAAGTTGTAAAATCCTGGTAACTATACGGATAACGCATCAATTTAGAAATAGAAATTTTATTTCTCTAAAATGATGTAAGATTTTTGATGACATTTAGCTCTTAATTACAAACAATAATTCTGTTTACTATGTTATGTTGAATCTAATTGAAAAGTTAGAAAGTAATTTAAAGTTTTTACTTATGTTTAATATATCTCTATAATAACTATGAATATGATCATACTAAAATCATTTTGTTTTACTTTTTAAATTATATCAACCACTTGAATATTGAAGACATAAAATTATTTTTATACTTGCCCAATGCCCCATATTTGCTCGAGCAATGACCCTTGAAAAACTTAGAAACCGAAGTTTAGCGTGTTTGTCATGCATATGGTGAGTTTTGATGTAATCATTATTAATTTTATTCATTGTTGATGAATAAAACACGCAATTGCATGTATGAATAAGTAACCGACGCACAAACCTGAACAGATTATAAATTGAAAGTGTTAATAACTATACTGTTATGTAAACTTTGTTGTAGCGAAACGAAAATAATGTTTTTTTGTAACACATAACTGCACTTTTCAGTTGTTTAATTGATAATCGCACGCATTTGTGCACGCATAGGCGTTTTTGTCCATAGTGATTTATTGTGTTTTTGTATTTTCTGATCGTAAGATCAGTAAATACATAGCTATCATCCACGGTCTAACACAAAATTTCCTAACAGTCCTAACAACGCAAAGTAGTTCTCACTCAAAACTGCTTAAAAAACCAGCAATTTAAAAGAAAGAACAATTTTTAATGTAGGCATTTAACGAATTACAGTGCATTAAAAGTTTACATTAGTCAATAGAAAATATGAGGTTACAATCACAAATTTCGCGGATGAATATCTTTTTTACCCAATGAAAAATGTTCGCTATTTCCGTAAAGCTTCGGATTATCATGAATATCATTTTAATCAATGAAAATGCTATTTTTTAGCTATGCCGATTACCGAATACTCCAGAGCGTAGTACACAAATAAATCTGACTGTCGAGTAGTGGAATATATACATGTCGGACTGTTTTGGCGAGAAGATTTTCGATAAATTATTTTCATCAGTGTTAAACAACACGTTTATCGTGAACAAAAATACCTCGAAATTAATAAGGATTACAAACACGAAATGGAAATTCTCAATTTAGAATGACATAATGTATTTGTTTTTATTCAAGGTTCATATGTATAACTTCGCCGTGGTGCAGAGGTAAGCGGTCTCGTTGAGGGTGTGAGAGGCTTATGGTTCAAATTCTAGTCGAGGCAATTCTATTTTTTTTCATGCAAAATTCCATATGTAAATCTCAAACTGTTATAGAAGAAAATCAAAACGCTGTCGCTGCGTAAGATGAATAATAGTATATAAAAATAAACTTATACAGGAAAGTACATACAGATAGTCAGTATGATTTAGATTGCAAAGATCAGAAAATACCATAGAGCTGCAGTCCTTTGATTAATGTTTATAGTGGAACTTAAAAGACTTACGATATCTTATATTTGTTAATTCTATCATAGATAAAAGGACTCAGGTAGCAAATTAGTTTAAATCAAGAGTGATTTATCAGACTATCAACGTCGTGTATTTAGGATAAGAGGTAGACTGTAGCGGGTTAATGCGACTTTAAATTACCACAGTATCAGGAAAATTTCTCCATCAGTTGATAGGTGAAGTTTGAGAGACGAATACCTGCCAATGTAGGTATGTGAAGATACCGGCATGGATTAAAGACACGTATGTTTCAATCAGTGTTTTGTTTCTAAAGGAATACGAGAGATTTTTGAGAGGGCTAACGGGATTTATTGATAAATATTTATATTTAAATCATCCATATTGATCGAAGTGTTTGAACGCAATTTTGAAATTTGACGAATATAATGCTATTTTTCTTACTAGCTGATAATCTTAATAATGAAAGAGTCAGCAATTTATTAAATTCGAAAATAAATAAAGGAAAAAGGTTATTGTGATAAAAAGTTTATGATAAAATTAAAATATGATTTTAACGTTGATTTTAGTCCTTCAGACGACTGGGACATTGTTTGGTGCACACATTTTACCTGACTCTGATTTAAAAGCTATACTTACAGGAAAGAAGGGGAATGGAGTTAGAAAAAGGTCAAGATTAAATGAAGAAAATAAAAGTGATTTGAGAGGGAATACAAATGAAAATGTTCCCGAAAAATGGCTCGTAGATGCGGTAAGAATAATATGAATTTTGATATGGATATTATTAAGAGAAATATAAAACGGGTCTAATAATAATCGAGGTCCTTATATAGTCATTGATTTTATTATATAAAAAATATTACCGCTTATTTTCTTTTATCAGCAATATTGCAAAAAGATACATTAACGCTACAATAGTTAAATGTTTATTATTAAAATTTAACTCAATAAAAATGTCTAAAGTAAATTATTAAATTGCATTTATATAACTTATTTTTTTTTTAAAAATCAATACGTACACGTTGTTGCTTAAACGCTGACCTCGCAAAAAATTTTTTTTTAAGCGAAATCCTTTAAATTTACAATATACATTTATTTTTGAGACAGCATAGGACAGGTTCATTCTAAAGATAAACGAAACGAAGATATAAGTATAACATCGGACTACACATGTCTATTATTATTATTATTACAACTATTCATCTATGATATATGTCACATTGACAAATCTTGCGCGACTATTGAAAATTGTTTTCAATGCACCATACCTTAATAAGAATGGATCCTTTATCAAATAATTCTGTTACGGAAATTTTGTAAATTATATTAATTTAAAAACACAAATCTTCCTTGCAGCCATAAAGTATTCATTTAGTTCGTCAAAAATGGCCACGGCTTTTGATATGATATTATTATGTTTAATTCATGTACATATATTGAACTATTTTGTGTATGCTTTTTGCGTTTTCAGTTAAAAACGGTATAATACATTTTCCATTTTCTTATTGCGTCAGGTTAAAAAACAATACATTTTCATGCACAGATAAAAACTATTTTTTTTAAAAAAATCTAAAACTTTTAGATAAAACAAATGAATGAAGAAAGAAAAAAATGAAAACGTAACACAAAACGAGACAAAGCGATGAAAGATAGTTCTACTATGAAAAAAAAACTCCTGTAAATCCGCTAAACGCACTGAGGTTCCTTATCGCCAGACAAAACTATGTGTTATAGTAAATCATACGCAAGGTCAAACGTTGAAGACAGATGTGCGAACATAAAATGTTTATTGACAATTGTCTGATGGAATGATTGCCAACTAGAACAAACCGTCTGCGCCTTCTCTACAATTTATATACAAGATCAACGCGAAGATATTTTTAAACTTTTAACTCTATGTTTTAACAATTTGAATGAAAATCTATCTAAAATCTTTCTTTGGAGATTAAGAATATTTCTAGACATTTTGTTTTACTGCGATATTTACTTTTGCTATTCACTTTAATGTTAAAATGATGTGCATTCGATTTTGTCATGTCTTTTGTATCTCTAATAACACGGTCAACTATAATGCTTAAAGAAGGTCCTACCATTGTCGATTTATATAACTATATAAGTGATTGCCCGGCAATTATAATGATTTTCTATAACTAAATTGAACGTCGGTTTTTTATGCGACTCTTAGCACGATTTTAACGAAAAGCGTTGCAACGCATTTAATTTGCGGGTCATTTTGAAAAATAAAATGATAATTCTGGGTAAAGGGTGTTATGATGTTGCTAAATTTAGCGTTAATACGGAAAGGTATTTTAGTTAAAAATTGGAAATAGAATAAAATTACAGGGGCATTTATTGAATCAAATGGTATAGTAATACGAATAAATTTCAAAAGGTATAATAATAGTTTCCATTATTGTTTTAAAGATAAAGTTTTGAATTGCCAGAAAAAAATATTTAAGTCTGATCAATTTCATCCAAACCGGCCAAATTAGTAAAATAAACCTCGAGAAGCGACGAATCATGCTAGGAACTTCATGAAAAGTCTAACAGGTGTTATAAAACAAAAGTTTTTATCTTGTAACAGCCTTTACGTCTCTAAAATTACTGATTCTGACAGGAATCTGCATATTTACATCCCCGCTGAGATAAGACTTGCATACTTTTGTCTTAAGTGTAATCAACAGTTTACTTTAGGTCATTTACGGCCGCAGCCGACTGGATTTGTATCATTTAAACTTCATAATATGTTAACATTTGCTTGACTTATGAAAGGTTTATAAACATTTAATGGATTATTTTATCCTTTTTGTTTGAAAAAAAAATCTTTTTTTTCGCTTTTAGTGAAATCGTATAATTTGTTTAATATAAAACATATACATAGTGTTTCTGATTCATTTGTACATTTTATTGAACATATTGAATTTAATACTTTTTTCAGTGCGTTTTTGTAAATTTTATAATTCATTTATAAAAATGCCTTTACCTACCAAAAATGCCAGCATCAGTAATATAATACAATGAAACCTATTATTCTAAAACATATAATGTCACATTAAGACGAAGAATTTGCAGATAAATAATTGTGATAATTTCGAAGTTAGGAAATTTATAAATGATGATATTGTAAAACTTGAGTTAAAATATATTTCACTTTGTCCTTCATTTTGACAGGTATGAAAAGGTGACACACAAGTTCAAGTTTTATATAATTACGCAAATTTAAACATTCTTTAAACGATTTTATAAGGTAAGAGAATATACTGTAGTGGATTAAAGGGTATAAATAAGTTGAGATTATAGTGGTCACATATCAATAATTAGCTCGAATTGGAATGTGGGGCAACGTGCAAAATATTTAAAGATAGTGCCTAAGTGGACTCTTTTTGTGACATTCAAACATAATACTTCCAAATAATTAAAGATGATCTTCATCATTATTAACATTATCCTACGGCAACTATTAGGCCGCTTATTTCCTGTCACCAAATAGAATAAAAAAAATTTCTATCAAAGAATATAAAATGTGCAATATGCATTTCATATTATCAGTTTCATGTTTTTTTAAACATCTGTATAATTTCATGGCATATTTAGAATATTCAGTTTACATTTATATATTTAATTATTCTATTTATGGAATATTTGTAAAAATTTAAAGCATATTCATGATCAAGAACCTTTTCAATTCAGTTTTACTTGCGAATATCGTAGGTCGTAGTCATGCGAAGAAATGAATATAAGAAATATGATCCAAGCCTACAAACTGGAATTATGTTAGTTAAAAAATAGATACTACGCCAAAAATGAAAGAAATATTAAGATTATAAAACGAAACCGGAAGTAGGCATATACCAGATAATCACGAGTTATCATGTTCATTTTTATAGATAGTTCTTATAATTTTCCCTATATATTTTCAGATATTTTATGACGATTACCAATCAGATGCTCCTGCTGCTCCAAATATAGCATCGGAAGATGTGTGTCCACCGGTTCCGGATGTTGTATCAAATGACGCATGCGCACACAATTCGTGTCAAAGAGATACCGATTGTTCGGATGGGTACAGATGTTGTTTTACCGGATGCTCTTTTACTTGCCTTCTTGAAGTTCAGCCAGTCGCCCGTAATTCCTTATTATTTCATTCCTTCTCAAAATTGTCTATTATTCCTCGATTATACGAGGAGAGTAAAATGTTACATTGTCAGATTTCTATTCAATAAATTCTTTTTTAAAAAGACTCAATTTTAGCAAGATTTCTTTTCCTTAATGGGTTAATGAAAAAAAAAAAAAAAATCTACAAAACAACAATTTTTCTTCAAAATTCATATGACAGGCCATGTTTAAACATGGAAAAACGCGATTTAGAGTAATTTCAAGTATTTTCATCATTTTCTATTAACCCATTACTTCATATACACGCCTTTTAACGCCTTTTTCACCCCGCCCCCCTTTTTGTTGTCTCAAATGGTGAAAAAATTTATTATTTAGGCTCTTAACACTTGTTTTTGTTTGAGAAATGTTGTTAAAAAAAGTGACCACTTTTTCGGCGCGGCCCCCCCAACCAAAAGATACATCAGGGCTTGCCAGAAGGGGGATGTGCCCCCTTCTGTTTGGGGGGGTTTGAAGGGGGGCGGAGTCCCCCTCATCGCCAAGAAAATTTTGGACTTGTAAGAGGCTATAAATGACCCCAGATTGATCATAAGGTAACGTGTAACCAACGCTGAAAAGCATTTGACTCTATCTCAATCCATTGAGAAGTTGCAGCACTTTGAAATCAATTATAATGGAAAAAATCGAGGCAAAATAGTGATTTTTGGCAATTTTGAGATGTCCCCTCGTTGCCATGGTAACAGAAAATTTAAGCCTGAGCATGTTGTTGCAAGGGCAATGGTCCAGTTAACATTTGTGCCAAGTTTGATTAGTGTTGAAGCAGTTTTTATAGTATTATAGCAATCTGAACTTGTAACGGGAGACTTTTCAATGAAAACAGCCATTTTTAACAAAATGCTCATGAAGTAATGGGTTAATGAAAAAAATAAAAAAATCTACAAAACAACCATTTTTCTTCAAATTCATATGACAGGCCATGTTTAAACATGGAAAAACGCGATTTAGAGTAATTTCAAGTATTTTCATCATTTTCTATTAACCCATTACTTCATATACACGCCTTTTAACGCCTTTTTCACCCCCCCCCTTTTTGTTGTCTCAAATGGTGAAAAAATGCATTATTTAGGCTCTTAACACTTGTTTTTGTTAGAGAAATGTTGTTAAAAAAAGTGACCACTTTTTCGGCGCGGCCCCCCAACCAAAAGATACATCAGGGGCTTGCCAGAAGGGGGATGTGCCCCCTTCTGTTTGGGGGGGGTTGAAGGGGGGCGGAGTCCCCCTCATCGCCAAGAAAATTTTGGACTTGTAAGAGGCTATAAATGACCCCAGATTGATCATAAGGTAACGTGTAACCAACGCTGAAAAGCATTTGACTCTATCTCAATCAATTGAGAAGTTGCAGCACTTTGAAATCAATTATAATGGAAAAAATCGAGGCAAAATAGTGATTTTTGGCAATTTTGAGATGTCCCCTCGTTGCCATGGTAACAGAAAATTTAAGCCTGAGCATGTTGTTGCAAGGGCAATGGTCCAGTTAACATTTGTGCCAAGTTTGATTAGTGTTGAAGCAGTTTTTATAGTATTATAGCAATCTGAACTTGTAACGGGAGACTTTTCAATGAAAACAGCCATTTTTAACAAAATGCTCATGAAGTAATGGGTTAATGAAAAAAATAAAAAAATCTACAAAACAACAATTTTTCTTCAAATTCATATGACAGGCCATGTTTAAACATGGAAAAACGCGATTTAGAGTAATTTCAAGTATTTTCATCATTTTCTATTAATGAAAAAAATAAAAAAATCTACAAAACAACAATTTTTCTTCAAATTCATATGACAGGCCATGTTTAAACATGGAAAAACGCGATTTAGAGTAATTTCAAGTATTTTCATCATTTTCTATTAACCCATTACTTCATATACACGCCTTTTAACGCCTTTTTCACCCCCCCCCTTTTTGTTGTCTCAAATGGTGAAAAAATGCATTATTTAGGCTCTTAACACTTGTTTTTGTTTGAGAAATGTTGTTAAAAAAAGTGACCACTTTTTCGGCGCGGCCCCCCAACCAAAAGATACATCAGGGGGTTGCCAGAAGGGGGATGTGCCCCCTTCTGTTTGGGGGGGTTTGAAGGGGGGCGGAGTCCCCCTCATCGCCAAGAAAATTTTGGACTTGTAAGAGGCTATAAATGACCCCAGATTGATCATAAGGTAACGTGTAACCAACGCTGAAAAGCATTTGACTCTATCTCAATCCATTGAGAAGTTGCAGCACTTTGAAATCAATTATAATGGAAAAAATCGAGGCAAAATAGTGATTTTTGGCAATTTTGAGATGTCCCCTCGTTGCCATGGTAACAGAAAATTTAAGCCTGAGCATGTTGTTGCAAGGGCAATGGTCCAGTTAACATTTGTGCCAAGTTTGATTAGTGTTGAAGCAGTTTTTATAGTATTATAGCAATCTGAACTTGTAACGGGAGACTTTTCAATGAAAACAGCCATTTTTAACAAAATGCTCATGAAGTAATGGGTTAATGAAAAAAATAAAAAAATCTACAAAACAACAATTTTTCTTCAAATTCATATGACAGGCCATGTTTAAACATGGAAAAACGCGATTTAGAGTAATTTCAAGTATTTTCATCATTTTCTATTAATGAAAAAAATCAAAAAATCTACAAAACAACAATTTTTCTTCAAATTCATATGACAGGCCATGTTTAAACATGGAAAAACGCGATTTAGAGTAATTTCAAGTATTTTCATCATTTTCTATTAACCCATTACTTCATATACACGCCTTTTAACGCCTTTTTCACCCCCCCTTTTTGTTGTCTCAAATGGTGAAAAAATGCATTATTTAGGCTCTTAACACTTGTTTTTGTTTGAGAAATGTTGTTAAAAAAAGTGACCACTTTTTCGGCGCGGCCCCCCAACCAAAAGATACATCAGGGGGTTGCCAGAAGGGGGATGTGCCCCCTTCTGTTTGGGGGGGTTTGAAGGGGGGCGGAGTCCCCCTCATCGCCAAGAAAATTTTGGACTTGTAAGAGGCTATAAATGACCCCAGATTGATCATAAGGTAACGTGTAACCAACGCTGAAAAGCATTTGACTCTATCTCAATCCATTGAGAAGTTGCAGCACTTTGAAATCAATTATAATGGAAAAAATCGAGGCAAAATAGTGATTTTTGGCAATTTTGAGATGTCCCCTCGTTGCCATGGTAACAGAAAATTTAAGCCTGAGCATGTTGTTGCAAGGGCAATGGTCCAGTTAACATTTGTGCCAAGTTTGATTAGTGTTGAAGCAGTTTTTATAGTATTATAGCAATCTGAACTTGTAACGGGAGACTTTTCAATGAAAACAGCCATTTTTAACAAAATGCTCATGAAGTAATGGGTTAATGAAAAAAATAAAAAAATCTACAAAACAACAATTTTTCTTCAAATTCATATGACAGGCCATGTTTAAACATGGAAAAACGCGATTTAGAGTAATTTCAAGTATTTTCATCATTTTCTATTAATGAAAAAAATAAAAAAATCTACAAAACAACAATTTTTCTTCAAATTCATATGACAGGCCATGTTTAAACATGGAAAAACGCGATTTAGAGTAATTTCAAGTATTTTCATCATTTTCTATTAACCCATTACTTCATATACACGCCTTTTAACGCCTTTTTCACCCCCCCCTTTTTGTTGTCTCAAATGGTGAAAAAATGCATTATTTAGGCTCTTAACACTTGTTTTTGTTTGAGAAATGTTGTTAAAAAAAGTGACCACTTTTTCGGCGCGGCCCCCCAACCAAAAGATACATCAGGGGGTTGCCAGAAGGGGGATGTGCCCCCTTCTGTTTGGGGGGGTTTGAAGGGGGGCGGAGTCCCCCTCATCGCCAAGAAAATTTTGGACTTGTAAGAGGCTATAAATGACCCCAGATTGATCATAAGGTAACGTGTAACCAACGCTGAAAAGCATTTGACTCTATCTCAATCCATTGAGAAGTTGCAGCACTTTGAAATCAATTATAATGGAAAAAATCGAGGCAAAATAGTGATTTTTGGCAATTTTGAGATGTCCCCTCGTTGCCATGGTAACAGAAAATTTAAGCCTGAGCATGTTGTTGCAAGGGCAATGGTCCAGTTAACATTTGTGCCAAGTTTGATTAGTGTTGAAGCAGTTTTTATAGTATTATAGCAATCTGAACTTGTAACGGGAGACTTTTCAATGAAAACAGCCATTTTTAACAAAATGCTCATGAAGTAATGGGTTAATGAAAAAAATAAAAAAATCTACAAAACAACCATTTTTCTTCAAATTCATATGACAGGCCATGTTTAAACATGGAAAAACGCGATTTAGAGTAATTTCAAGTATTTTCATCATTTTCTATTAACCCATTACTTCATATACACGCCTTTTAACGCCTTTTTCACCCCCCCCCCTTTTTGTTGTCTCAAATGGTGAAAAAATGCATTATTTAGGCTCTTAACACTTGTTTTTGTTTGAGAAATGTTGTTAAAAAAAGTGACCACTTTTTCGGCGCGGCCCCCCAACCAAAAGATACATCAGGGGGTTGCCAGAAGGGGGATGTGCCCCCTTCTGTTTGGGGGGGTTTGAAGGGGGGCGGAGTCCCCCTCATCGCCAAGAAAATTTTGGACTTGTAAGAGGCTATAAATGACCCCAGATTGATCATAAGGTAACGTGTAACCAACGCTGAAAAGCATTTGACTCTATCTCAATCCATTGAGAAGTTGCAGCACTTTGAAATCAATTATAATGGAAAAAATCGAGGCAAAATAGTGATTTTTGGCAATTTTGAGATGTCCCCTCGTTGCCATGGTAACAGAAAATTTAAGCCTGAGCATGTTGTTGCAAGGGCAATGGTCCAGTTAACATTTGTGCCAAGTTTGATTAGTGTTGAAGCAGTTTTTATAGTATTATAGCAATCTGAACTTGTAACGGGAGACTTTTCAATGAAAACAGCCATTTTTAACAAAATGCTCATGAAGTA